CTGACATGATGCAGACTCCCTCAGCAATTAACCAGCAAGAGATGTACTTGTAAAGGGTGATTTTGGCCCAGATTCCCACTACAACATGCCGCCTCCAGATACTAGAGTCCTGTTTATAATCACAAGGTATATATAAGATGTCTTTAGTGATATTATGCAGTTTTATTATTATTGTCTCAATATCCTCTTGATTAAGTTCATCTTACTATTCATAGAACTAACTGTCTCCCTTATAAAATGAAAGAAAGAAAGAAAGGAAAAATATACATTTTTTCTAAGCAAGTCTAAATCACATTCTAGCACTAAATAAGTAAGAATTCTCCTCTGTAAAATAATCCTTCTCCCTTAACATTACAGCCTACAAACTGGAGGACCATATACCTCCGAATTCTGGCCCATATTTGCAAATTCTTAAATGCATGGGGGAGATGGGAATTCTTACATTATATTCAGAAGAGTTGATATACGCATCTGGCAAGTAGCTAATGCCGACTTGGTACACAGCCAGATAAATCAACCCTAATCCTCCACGAAGTAAGCCTGGTAGGAGACATGGAGGACGTGCACTACCAAGGAGAGTTCCCTGTTGAAGAGGAAATATATCACATACATGCGACAATAATCATCCTTCATTGACCAATAATAATCATCCTCTTATAGCACCCGGGAATAAAAAGAAAAACAAAGAGAGAAAAAATAGAGTACACTTACGCTAACAAAGTCCAGGTAACGTCTCATGGAGAACTGTGGCCCCACCATAAAGGAGGCAGGGAAATATGTATGTGCAGCAACTTCAAGTAAGCTTGGTCTAATACTCAGAGCCGTTTTTTGCTGGTCATTTGATAATTTTGCCTGAAATTAACAGAAACATGAAAAAAATTACTTGTAGATACAAATTCACTTTTTTACCCCTTGAATCCGGATGCTGCACTGCCCACACATGGTTCAAAATTGCTTGCTAACGTGGTAACTATGATGGGTGTGCTAGTAAGCTGGGCACATACCTGAACACTCGTGAGCAGAGACAAGACGCCATGCCTCCCCTTTGCAATGTCATTTTCTCTTTTTCTGCATAACCAATTTTAGGTGTTTTTTTTTTTTTGCCATTTTCCAAAGTTTTTTGCTATTTTTGCATAACCAATTTTAGTGTAGTTTTTTGCTATAGTTTATTTGTCATTGGATTTGCCTTCCCCAGATAATAGACTGTTTACCTTGCACTGACTCCATATCATATCTCTGGGTAGTCCATAATTGAATGCAATAATAACAACAAGGAATAACATTTTGTTACTTGTGTCATATTATTTATTTATTTATTTATTTATTTTCTTTTATTTTAATATTCAATTCTGAGCATGGAAATACCATCCTCCCTGGAGCTGATGATTTATCAGTCCTGGCTTATGGATGGTATATTCTACAGTTATTTATCAATGGAAATGACGCAAAAGCACCTTCCTAATTGTCCAGCAAGTCTGATCACCTTCAAAGAGCTCTGTGCACTTGTGGCAAGTAATTCCCGTTACCCAGAGCCTTCAACTGAAATTCTCATAATAACAAGTTCCCATCACCCTGGCCTTCGGCTAAATTTTTCCATGATAGTATGTTCATGTCACCCCCCAAGCCAAATTTCTTCATGATGTGTTGGTCATGTCATCCGGATCGTAGGGGTTAATATATAAAAGAAAAGAGATTGCAATTTTCTTTAAAACAACTGCCACACCAGTGAAGATAAGAAAATCAATATTCTATATCAACTTATTTTGAATATAAAATAATCAAAATGGCTTTAGACACTTAAAAAATAATGATTTGCAAGGATTGCAGTTATCTTTTAAATATCATATGCTAAAGATACTAAAATGTTGAATGTAAATTATATAAACAGACATAACTTTCCCTGAAGCAAATATACCTTAGTTTAGATACTGAGCATTCTGAACAACTTGAAACTTTGAAAATGGTTATAAACTATTAGAAATAGAATAAACTTAATAATTACAAATACAGACAGAAGTCTTACTGGATCTTTTGTGCCATCATATACATCATAGGTGAGTGCTATGAGCCGCAGAGTCAGCACACAATGGGGCATACTCCACTTGATGTCATAAGTGTCTGTTCCCGTGAAGTAGTACCCTGGAAAGTCAAGATGTCAATTACTGTGAACCTTCTCCAAAATGATTACAAATATTACTGAGTCTTACAATGAGTGTAAATGATGACCTACAGTGCAATCATGGATGGATAAATGTAAATGGTGTGTGTTTTGAAACAAGGAATCATAATATAAGTACCAGATGGAAGAGCTAGGAATTTAAAATCTTTGTAAATTCATATACTGAACTTTACTGATTATCACAACTACAAGAACTAATGGAGGTACCTCTACTTGTAAAACTCTTGAATACTCCTTATAAAAGTACTGGCAGTGCTAGCTAATTGAACTTTCTATCTTTGGTACTCTGTTTTTTCTGACAAGTTCTGCTAAAGGATCTGGTTGTAGATTTGGAGCTGTTATCTAGTGCAAACACTATTATATAAATTTATGAGTGCATGGCAGTTTTAAAAGCCTTAAAGTACTTTCCAAATTTGTTTTAGATAATTGTTTTTCTTCCATACTGCAAGCTTTAAGTTGTAATGGACCAAGGTACTAACTTATCTTACAAGTCTTAAAGTAGCATGCAGTGTCAAAGTATGTTTCCTAGTTTGGTGACAATAGTTGTATTAGTTTTAAAATATCAGGCTCATCCATTCAGTAAACTAATCCTGAACTGTCACTTCAGGCTCATCCATTCAGTAAACTAATCCTGTACTGTCACTTTCTTCTTACTATATCACAATGACACAGCAGTGAGAAAAAGATAATAAAGATAATTACTCATAACTCACCTCTATTATGGTCCATCTTATCTTTATCCTACTTTGGCAAGAGGGTGTAAAAAGTATTTATCATAATCTTAACCAAATCAAGAAGAAAAGTTGCAAGATTATTTAAGTAAAACACTAAATACCTCTACTATGCATTAGAAAGGAGGATTAGTCAAAAACAAGTACCTTTTTTTTTTAAAACATGTCTTCTAACTAGTAGTGCCCTCTACACCCTTATTTTTAGATTCTTTAACTATTTTGTGTAAATTGCAGATATTGGATAAAATAAATGGAGAGTAAAATGGCTACAACAATCACACACACTTGCACGCACGCACACACACACACACACACAAAATTAAAAACTATAACCTACCCAAACAGAAAAGAAAACTAAATTGTTCAACTGACAGTGCTTTTGCAAAATTAACGACTTACCCATAAGTAGGTAAGTCATCTGGAACAAGAAGGAAATAATTACAGACTTGATAGTTCCTCCCATGACCACCAGCAGCAGCCAGGCAGCCAGGACACACACAGCCGAATGGATAACATTATGACCTTGAAAAGGAAAAATGTTCACACAATGAATATAATTGAATAAACACTAAAATAAAATTATTTTTTGCTTATGACAGTAAGTGCTAAACATAAATATTCTATCACTATCACTTGTTTCCTTTTTACTTATGTATACATATGTTTGTATCAAAACTTTAATGAAAATTTCTACACTAACCAAGTCCACTGTAACTTGCATCTGTTGATTCTGCCTACACATAGATGGCTCTATAAGTGTTTGATCCTCAAGGAGTTAATCAATAGTTTTTTTTTCCCTAGATTTTTAGAGATTCTTTTTTATCTCATGCTTCAATAATCATAATGTCAATAACGATGATATCAAATAACAATAGTATCAACATGAAAAGCAGGGGGTGTGGAAAAAAAAAAAAAAAAAAAAATCAAATAGGGAATACTTGCTGACTCTTTGGTGGCTAAGCAATTATTGTACCATTTATGTGCAACAATTTTTGCAAAAAAGAAGAAGAAGAAGACAAAAAGAAAATGAAAAACACAGTGGACAGTACATGAACCTGCAGCCAGTGGGTTTATGTCCAGTTGTCTGGCAGCTAACACCATGGAGCCCAGAATAGAATAGCCACTGTCAAAAGCCACCTAACCAAGATTCTAAGTCCCATGTGACATGGCCTGTAATACTTTTTTAATTGGCAATGTATGTATGTATGGGTATGTATATGCACACACATATAATAAAAACATACACATAAAACCATAAAACACACACACATATAACAAACAAACACACACACACATAAAACAAACAAACAAACAAACAAACACACACACTTAATCATACATATCTAAATATTGTGTGTGTCTTGCAAGACAATTAGTTCAAATCTTTATTTGATTTTATAAAGCTAAAAAATGTTGAACAAAAAAAGTACCTACGATGCTGAAATAAAATATTTCAAACTTTATAAATTCTTGTTTATAAATTTAACTTAAATGCACACAAACAAAACATGCAAAATATCCAATAAACTAACACTTATGTACTGTAAAGGTTAAAGATAAGAAAACACACCATTCTTGAAAACAAAAACATTTGTATGATAAGATCTAATCAAGATGTACCAGATATTGAATGAGTATTGTACATTCTTCTGACCTACATGCATAGGGTAAGGTAGGCCATAAGTAAGCATTGGTCCAAAAGGTATACAACATTTGGCATTCATTCAAAAACATCTCCATTTTATTTCTGTACTTGGTTCACTACTGATCCTAAATCATTACTCTGTATGCTTTCATATTTGTACAAATCTATTTCTACAGATTACAGAGATAATCTTAGGAAAACAGAGTGGGAAAAAAGTTCTTTTTCAATAAGGTGGAGATCCCCACTTTTTCTTTCTGTGGTGTAGTCACTTTACACGTTTACACATTATGATTTATTTCTGTTTCCAGATTGACTTGGGTCTGGGGAGTGTTAGAGATGTGCATTGGATCTGCCTAGAAACCAACAATAAAGGTGGGGATGAGGCATGTACTTATTGGACAGGAATTAGACAACCTTGGTCAATATGAATGCATTTTTTCAAGTA